ACTAACACACTCCTGTGGCTGATAACTGTGAATCTGGCCTCAGAAAGCAGATTTTCTCAGCAAGGAAAAATATAGACATACATCTTTACATTTCAACATTTTAACATTGACTATATATCCCATCAAAACCTGACATTATTATCTTTCCAATTAGTTGTTTCTTCTCATGATGTGACCAAAGTATGACAGCCTCAATTTTATCCTCTTGGCTTCTAGGAGTATTTCAGGTTTGATCTGTTAAATGATCCTTTTTTTTTCTTTTGGTCTTTTGCGATTTCCACAGTATGCTTAGGTAGGGGTATTTAAATTTCTCAGCTAGAGAGCTCTTTGTTGTTCTGTGCCTTCAAGTCATTTATGAATTATGCCAACACTAAGGTGAACCTATCATGGGGTTTTCTTGGCAAGATTTGTTCAGAGGGGTTTGCCTTTGCCTTCCTCTGTGGCTGAGAGAGTGTGACTTACCCAAGGTCACCCAGTTTGTTTCTATGGCCTAGCAAGAGTTTGAATCCTGTTTTCCAGAGTAATAGTCCAATGCTCAAACCACTACACCATCCTGGCTCTCAGAGAACTCTACTATTTCATTAAACTAGAAACACCATCACATGCTTCCATAGGATGTTGCCATGGCAGTTAAAGTGGAATGATAGTGGTATAAGCATGGGTTATGAAAGGACCTTTGGTATTACTAAATCTCTTCACGTCATCTTCCAGATGAGGACTAACTGTACTAAGACCTCTTTAGCCTCAATTCTTAACATGAGGAACAATTTGGTTTTCATAATATGCCAATTTCATCTACACTGTTGAAATAATAGTTTAGCACCACATTAACAGCCATGGCTCCATCATACAGAATCCTGGGATTTGTAATTTTCTGAGGCATCAGCACTCTGGACAGAGAAGGCTAAAGACCTTGTAAGACTTCAAATTCCATGATTCTATAGCACTTAAAATGGTGTTAAATTGCATTATTTTTACATGTAGATGAACTATCAAGTTTATCACACGGGAGGGATCCTGTGCAAAAATGGGATTTAAACCAGGAAAAACTGGAAAAGCAGATTGATTTTCAGATGACGTTGGGGTTAATGATCATTAATGCGACATTAACCTGGACAGAAAGTCAACAAAACATGCTGCTTTTTACTTTCGGAAAATCCTGAAAATAAAAAGAGGAGCATTTTGTCGACCATCTGTCCGGGTTAATGTCTCATTAATGCTCCTTAACCCCGGTGTGTCTGAAAATCAACCCACTTTTGTGTGTTTTTCCTGGGTTTTAAATCCCATTTCTGCACAGGATTTGGGCACTTTGCCTCTCGTGTAATAAACTCCTAAGAGTGATATAAGAGTGTATAGATAAACAGTATTTTTAACAGAGATATTTGTCTGCTTAAGAAGTTGAGAACAAATGCACAAACTTAAGAAATATGGCTTTGCTAAAATGGTTTTGTATTAAAGTTTTTCGTCATTGTCTTCATTTCAAATGTATTTCATTTGATAAAGGCATCCAAGAAAACTCAGTGCCATTGTTCACAGCCGCATCTTGCAGTCTAAGAAGTAGCAGTCAATGATTACTGACCTAAACTAAAGTGACAGTGATTTCAACTGGAGAAAGGAGCATGAATTAGGAATGATTTTAAATACTTCTTTTCTTTGCTCCTTTACAAAAGAGAAATGAAGTCTTTGATGCATGGAAATCAGTTTTTATCTCATTGCTAGATTGATGAACAGACTCATATGGAGACCTTGGAATAATTTCTTTCCTGTGACGCAGTAACTAGGTTTGTACATAGAGCATCATATTCATGTATTTTCTATTTGTTAAAAAAATTGCTAAGGTCAATCTTTTCAAGAGTTATCTTGGTGTGATTTTAAATTGGACAACTGCCACAATAATCAAATTCTTGGGATGGGGGGTGGGGTAAATAGCAAGGCTCTGAATGAACAAAAGTTGTTTTCAAGCTACGCCTCTTTGTGTTACTGCCAGAAGGTGTGGGGATCCATATTACATGATCTATCAAATTTCTCTCTCATAAGATAGGAAAAACAAAATTTTAAAGATCAAAGGAAGCAAAATGTGTTCTTGACTAATAATGAATAATAGGGTGACACTGAGATTGGTAGTAACTGCCAAAGAAAAGGAACTGACCCTTTTACGCTACTAAATGAACTGAAAAGAAACAAGCCAAGTGTCCTGGCTAATCTTCACCTCTGAAAAACATTAGAAATATTATATGTGGTTCTCGTAATATCCTCAGCCAGCAGGAATTCAAATGTCTTTAAGTCTGTAACCATAAGCTCTGCATCTTCTAATTATGCTTTCACCTCTAGCTGTTTATCAGGCCTGAACATCCCCTGATGCAGAAAGACTCTTTTGCAGGATGGAAAAAAACTGTAAAGAAAAGAAAAAGAACAAGAAAAGAAAGGAAGATGTGGGGAGAAAAGAGGACTTTTTCAGAAATCTTCCCTCTTTTATTGTTATTGTGTAGCTTCAAGGGCTTTCTAACTTATTGTGGCTCTAAAGATGTGGTGGCTCAAGTGGTTAAGACACTGACTTGGGGGGAAGCAGACGGGTGGTACGGGACCACCCCGGGAACCTGCGGATTGGGGCCGAGGTATCCGCTCTCCTCAGCCCTGAGCCACAGTGTCCCAGGCCCAGGAAGGAGTGCTAAAATAGCGCTCCTTCCGCAAGATGCCGAAGGTGCACCACAAAAGGCCTCCGGTGCACCTTCAGCACCTCTTCCGCTGCACCATGTGCAGATGCTTCAGTGGAAATGCATCCTCAGAGCGCTGGCCGTGCGGAGCGCCGGGTGCTCCAACGACGTATTCGGGAAGGGGTTGGGGTGCCCAGTGTGAGGCTGCCCCTCCCCTTCCTGGCCTTGAAAACAGCGCTTTGTGCCATCTGCTTAGGCAGTCTGTTGATTGCAAGATTGACTGGTTGGCAGTTCGAGGCCTGGGTGCTGCATGATGGGTGAGCTCCCATCACTAGTCCCAGCTTCTGCCAACCTAGCATTTTGAAAGCATGCAAATCCAAGTAGATAAATATGTACCACTTCTCACTGGGAAGGTAAACAGTGTTCTGTGCAATCAAGATGGCTACATGATCACAGAGTACTCAGCAACGCTGACTCTTCGGCTTAGTAACAGAGATGATTACCATCTTCTACAGTTAGACACGACTTGACAACCTTGTCAACGAGGAATACCTTTACTTTTTTAAGGAAGCCCTTGGGTTTCCTGCCCAAAGTCACCATGTAAGTTTCCATGACCACGTGAGGAATCAAACCCTGATCTCCAGAATCATAATCCAACACTCCAACACCATGCTGATTCTTTTTACTTTCTTTAAAACCCATGCTCTTGTTCTTGCTTGTTTTATCTTTACTATCTGCAAGGTTAAAGTTTTCAGGTCTATACGAAATGAGATAAACTGACATTAGTTCTTTTGATCTTCCAAACTAGCACAGAACAATGTGTCCCTTTCTTGAAATGGTGTGGCATCTACATCCACAGGGTTCAAATCAGTGGCTTTTGGTGAACCAGACTGATGTGAGCAGAACCAATGACAAAGGTCTTCCCCACTAATTTATTAATCAGGATGTACAGTAGCAATCATTGCATGTCTGTACTCAGTAACTGATAGCTCTCACATTTGAAGACTTCTTATTTGTTAAGGTTTACTATGCCCATTCTCTTCCTACATCACTCTAACTTGAAGCCATTTTATCTTTCTCTCTAACATAAGACCATGTGCTTGCTTATGAACAAGTATTTAAGAAGTAAAGCTATTTTCATACATTTTGCAGAGAAGACTAAGCTGGTTTCTTTCCTTTGTGTATTTGTGGGTGGGTGGGAGACAGTGGATCTGGTTGGTCTTCTGTTTCCTCCTTGCCAATTTGATTACATTGATTAAGCAATCTATTACTACTACATTTCCCAAAGCATGTAAGCAATTACTGGACATTCCCATGTGGCTCCAACATTTACCATAGCTATGTGGAATTACATTATAACAAAAATGGTTGACATGTCACTATGAATCTACATATTAAAAGCCATGGTTTTCTACTGACTCATTCAAATAGCCTTTATTCTGACTAAATTTGCATAGATTTTGGAGATTATCACACCAGTTCTTATTCCCATGTTAGGTGCAGGATGTAAACACACAGAGCTGGATTCTATGGCACAGCTTTGTCCCTGGGCAATACCCACTCTCTACCCGATCTGGGCTTCTGCTGGACCTTTTAAAGAATGGGAAAATCCTGATCTTTAAAAGGTCTGGGAGATGCCCAGATTGGGTACAGGATGGGTACTGCCCCTGGACAGAGCTGTATGATAGAATCCATCCCTGTATGTTTACATCCCATGCCTAGCATGGTAATAAAAGCCGGTGAGATCATCTCCATGTTTGACTTGCATGATTTGTACATTCAATTCAGCATTCATTTATGCAGATTATGGGTTAATTTGGTACCAAATAGAGTATGAAGAGCAATAGGAAAATAGGGTTTGATGTACCAGACAGGAACTGCTTGTGAAAGGCACAACAGGGTCATATCTAAGCCTGCCAATAACTTGTAACAGCAGTACCTTACTGCTTCTAAATATGAAGACCTATTATAGAGAAGGGTGAATCACATGAATTACTCAAAAGTATTACTGCTTGTGACTTTGGTTGCTAATTTCTTCTTGCTGTGAAAGGAACAACCTGGTTATTACTACTGGTCTTTAGACAAGATTCCTCCCACCCCCATCATTCATTTTTCATTTGCACCTGCTATGTGTATTGTTTCTCTGTTTTACAATAGTTGTCGTTATGTAGCATTGCTAACTGTGAGAGAGTTATCACATTCCATTGTGATAACCAGAAAATGGGAGATGGCACTAGGTGCTAGCTCATACCCACCAACATTTCAAAGATGAAAACCAGGACATGTGTGGCTGAGCAACACCAGAGTAGGGCCCAAAGGGTGTGGCCAGACAACATCAACGCAAAAGCCAGGGTGATGTAGTGGTTTGAGCATTGGACTAGGACTCTGGAGACCAGAGTTTGAATCTCAGCTCAGCCATAAAGCCCATTAGGTGACCTTGGGCAAGTTACACTCTCTCAGTCTCAGAGGATGGCAATAGCAACCCCATCCCCTCTGAGGAAACAGGCCAGGAAAACTCTGTGATGGGTTCACCTTAGGGTTGCCATAAGTAAAAAATGACTTGAAGGCACACCATGACAACAAGAAGTAAATATTGGGGAAGAACACACTACTATTTTCAACAGAGAAACTCTGGAGTTCTGGAAAGTCTAAAGAAAGAAAGAAAGAAAGAAAGAAAGAAAATGCCATATTGGCTGTCAGTGACCTAGACCAATATCCTACATCAGTTCAACATAGTGTAAATATCCACTGAAGGAACTATATCACAGAACTATTATATTGAATACCAATGTAGTACAGTGTATGTTCTAGTCCTTCCTAGAGTTTGAGGACCTAAAGAGGGTAGTGTATGTGCTGGAAACTTCAAGACTGGACTTCTGCAATACACTCTACATTGGGCTACCTTTGTATCAAATCCAGAAGCTCCAATTACTTCAGAATATGGCAGCCAGACTGATTACAGATACATCCAGGAGTGATCACATCACACCGATCTTAAAAATCACTCCACTGGCTAACAATTAGTTTCCGGGGATAGTACAAAGTGTTGGTTATTACCTTTAAAGCCCTACATGGCTTGGGTCCAGATTACCTAGAGGACTGCCTTCTCCCGTGCAATCCATTCTGTACACTCAGGTCCTGTTTGCTCCAACCAGCTAGGACTAGACTGGCAATGATTTCTCAGATGGCTTTTTTGTCTGCTACCCCCAGAGTGTAGAATTACCTGCTGGAGAGATATGACAGCTGAAAATGCTGACTGCTTTTAAAACAGCATTAAATATATATCTCTCCTGGCAGGTCTACCCAGACAATTTTAAATCATGACTTTTTAATTGTATATAATTCTTATGAGTGTATTTTAATGATTTTATAATATTGTACTTTAACTATGGGCTTATGTGTTTTTAATTATGCTTTGTATTTTAGTGTGTTGTTTCCCATTTCAAGCCTTGAGGAGAGGTGGGAAAGAATAAAAATTATTATTATTATTATTATTATTATTATTATTATTATTATCAATGATCAGTGCACATGGCTGAGAAGATATTGTGTAGCTGCAGTGCAAAATGTGATAAGGCAGTGCATATATCCAGTGCATGCTCACACGCTATTCAGTGTACTTTGATGTGCTACCACAAATACAATGGTCTCAAGTATGCTTATGCCACCATCAGCTGGATATGGCTAATTATGGCATAAGTAGAGATTCACAATTGAGGCACATTTCATATTTTACTACCCCCACCCCACAAATGACTCCTCATGCATAGCACAATATTGTGAGTTCAATACCAGCCAGGGCTGAGGCTTGACTCAGGCCTGTATCCTTCCGAGGTCACTAAAATGAGTACCCAGCTTGTTGGGGGGGGGCAATCAGCTCACAGTTGTAAACCACTTAGACATCCCATAGCGTGATATGAAGCGGTATATAAATAAGCTGCTTTGCTTTGCTTTGCTTTATATCTGTGTGTGTCACAGATGTCAGCTCTAATATGGTTGTTGGGAGGATTAAGTGGAGAAGGACAATCCATAGACAATACCCCGAGTTCTTTTGGAGGAAAGATTACTATTATTTATTTATATCCCACTTTCTTCCTAGTACAGGTTTTCAAGGTGGTATAAATGGCATATAAATGTTGATAATAATGAACCAATAGTAAATGGCTGCTTCCATACCTGAGCTTGGTGTGTCTATATTTGTTATTCTGTGTAAAAAAAAAAAAAAAAAAAAAGATAAAGATTATCCCTTTGATGTGGTTGTCTAGTCGTGTCCAACTGTAGGGACAGTGCTCATCTCCATTACTAAGCTGAGCAAGCCAGCATTGTCAAAGATAACTCCATGGTCATGTGGTCAGCATGACTGCACAGAATGCTGTGACCTTCCCACCAAAGTGGTACCTATTCATCTACTTGCACTTTTACATGCTTTTAAATTGCTAGGTTGGCAGAAGCTGGGACTAGTGATGGGAGCTCACTCCATGGTGCTTGGTCCTTGAATTGCTGACCTGTTGACCTTGCAATTGTCAGAATCAGAATCTTAAAACACTGAGCTACCGCATCCCTTGTTGTGTGTATGGTACATGAAATGCACAAAAATGAACACTATTACAAAGAGAGCAAACTGGCAGGAACTTGTGGCTGCCAAACTACAAACTTAGTGAATTAATCTTTCTTTTGAACACTGGATTTACTGTAGTTGTTCAACTGGGAATACAGTTATGATTGAATTGAGATCACTTTCACATTCATTCCTCATGCTGCCACATAATAAACACTTTTATTACCCAGGCTTCCTCAATGCATATTTTTAGGAAACACACAATTTGTCTATGTGTTGATTGTGAGAAATAAGCAGGAGCAGCTTTTACAAGTGCAGCAGGCCAAATATCCTCTTATGAGTGAAACCAAATAATGTTTTTATCTTTTGCACACTCTCCTACAAGTGACATGCTTATGCCCCAAACCTGGGAGGTGTGATGGAGAGTTTGAGTTGCATACCTTGAGTTAATTTTTATCATTTCTAGATCCTGAAATCTATCAACATATTGTTGACATATAAATATTTTAATAAATAAATCATTTTATAACATTTAGGGGAACAATTTTAGAA